TCCAGTATTTATATTATATATGTTTTCATGCAGTTTTGAGAAATAGTACTGAATCGTGTTTTGTGTGAGTGAGATGATTAAAGAGCGCTGACTGGTGCCATAAATATAGATAATTGCCAAACGCAGTAACTATACATAATATTGTGGCTTCTTCAGAAAGAAGGGTTATTTGTAATAACACTTGTTTGTACCACTTGCCTTCTTGGTTGGTTTTTCTATGTTTCCTGCAGATGCAGAAGATCCTGACTGCAGCTACAATCAACAGAGATCCAGCAGCAGCAGAAATAAGTGCTACCAGAAAGTCAAGGGGGTGAAAACAAAATATAAACTATTGGAATAAAAAAGTGAAAATGTATGTTTGATGTACAACAAAAGACAGAGATAAAATAATCACCAATAGCAGTGCTGCTGTCTGAACATGGCTGACAGAGTTGAGTGATGTTCAGCTGTTGAGTCTGGTTGCTGATGGGATTGTTGAGCACACAGCTGTAGGTGTTTTTCTCCTGATATTCCACCTCCAGAGGTAGAGAGAGACTGATGCTGAGATCAGACACACTGATGCTGGACAATAAACTGTTTACTTTGTACCAGGAGAGAGTCACATGACTCACATTCACCACTGAACACACCAGTGAACAATATGAGGATGATGAGGATGAGGATGAAGAACAGTGTGTAGAGTTACTGCTGATGACAGGAACAGACAGACAAGCTGAAAAAGAAGCATCAGACTTCACTTTAGATGTTTAAAAGATTACATTGTTTGAGATTCAAACATTGGGATGATTAATAAGAAGAAAAACAATTAATAGTTTGTTAAAGGAAATTCTGAATCAAATGAATCAATATTTAACTCACCATAGACAGTGAGACTGAAGCTCTTGCTCACACTGTTGATCTGTAGCTGATAGAGTCCAGTGTGTTGAGTTCTGGTGTTTGTGATTGTCAGAGATCCAGTTTGATCGTCCAGCTTCAGTCTGTCTCTGAATCTCTCATCAAGAACATCATCATATACTGTCATGCTGCCGGCCATTACATTGATTTTAACTATTAAAGTGTTTTCAGATCCAAACCTCCACAGAATCAGATCATCACCCATTAATTCAGTAACACCAGAGTTTAGAGTGACTGAATCTTCCTCCAGCACTGACACTGACTTCACTGCATCTGTATCAGCAAACACACCTGATAAAAAGATGAAAAGTTTTTCACAGATTAAAAGGTAAATAATTTTATGGTGCCTTAACTAACATATAGTTTTTGCTATTTAAAAGTGAAATGAAAAACAAACAGAAGAGCAGCAGAGAAAAAAACATTTAGAAAGCTGAGCTCCACGAAAATGACAATAACACAGATAAAATACTAAAATAAAAATAAAATACTAAAAGCTAAAAACCAAGAACTAAATTAGTAACACATATAAAACATAATTCTAACTTACCGGCTGAATGCCACAAACACAAGTGGGTCAAAACAACAACATAAACCATTTTCTTTAAGATTACAACGCTAGACATTTCTGATAACAGACTGCTTAGACATTGCAGAACTAGTGTGCATCTGAATCCACCCCTAACAGGAATTAACCACTCTTCTGCTGCTGCGCTCTAGCTGTGATCATATATATCACAGTTACTGTATATTCACCATAGGGCTGTATCTATCAATCTTATATTTACCTAATATTTTTTTCCCTTTATATAGATATTTGTATACACATACATTGTTTTTGAATTTCTTTGTTACCTTTGTTTTATTTCCACACTTAAAACAATGATTTGGTATTCCTCTTGTAACATTGTCCTCTTTTGTACTAAGAAATATGTCTCCTGACAGCTCTCTCTCATGTTGTTCCATTGCCGGCATTAATGCTGAGAATAATTCAGTGGTTTATGTAACACTTTTAATTGTCAAGAAATTACTGCTCTTTAAGTGTTTTGGTTCAACTATTCAACATGTCGATTGTTTCATTTATAATCAGCATGTGTAGTGAAATTATGACAATAAAGTAGCTTGTTAATTATGCATGATAATCCTGTACTCAAACATCAGTGTTGATGGATTCACTTTATTTCAATGTAAAATTGTTCTGCGTGGAGTAGAAGATGAAGTTCATATTACCAGAAAGAAAAAGAATAAGCGTTTCACCCACAAAGTACAGATACACTGAAGTCTGTCCAATAATAGGCACTCTAAACTGTTTGTTCACCCAAAAGATGAGACCACATCTATTCAAATAAATATGTAACTAACTGAGATCACAGCAGGGTTCACTGGACTGTCTGCTGAAGTGTTGCATGCCTTCAGTGAATTACATTCTCTCCTCTAGAGAAAACACACACTCTGGTCTTCTGTGAGCCTATAATCCATGAGAACATTTCAACTGGTTTCTTTTATTAATTACAGCTCTGCACCCAGTGGTATTTTATAGGCTAACTGGTTAAATTTATTTGTGTGTGGATTATAATCTTCTTGATGGCTCTTGTAATAAACCTACGGATTATGAGCCTGTTAAACGCAGGCACGATAATTAAATAAGGAAATAAAAAATGGCACTTTGGTTTGAAGTCCGAAGTCTGCCCTCTACCGCGTTCTTCTTAGTTGTTCAAGCCTGAGACACTTTCACTTTCATTCGACCTGAATTTGTAGGCCTATGTATATACTTGAATTTGACGCAAGACATAGCGGTTAATGTCATTCCATCTGTGTAAAGAAGCAAACTGTAGTGTTTTTAAATCTGACTTTTTTCTAACTGTATATCTCTACTCTGAATGTCAAAAACTAGCCTATACTGAAGTGAAATGATGCATTGAGGGCGGGGGTTCTCCCGCTAAGACAGGAAAAGAAACCACAGACTCCATTACAGCAGAGCGAAAGACCAACTCTCCGTATCTCCAGTATCTCGTGTTCAGTTCATCAGAGGCACAGCAGTTAAAATGAAGGGAAGCTATACTGTGCTCGTTCTGTTTGCGTTTCTCGTTGAGGGTAAGACATCAATTGGTTTCTGTAGGCTACTTTTAACACTTTACGTTTTCCGCGATCGATACATTTTCAACTCTGCCACCAACATTTCACTTAAAATCTTGTCTTTTATTCGGCGCTGTTTTAGACATTACTATAATACATGAATACAATGATTTTGTTCGTATAAATCCACTTTATGGATGGAAATGGTTTTGTTTCTTTAGTTCTTCCTGTTTTGGATTCTAGAAATGGCGGACGAAAGTGACGCAGTTTCTTTTAAACGCTTGTGATCACTTATTTCTAATTAAAGCTGCATATGCATCTGTATGATCTCGTAATGATCGTTGTTTAAAATTGTCATTTGCCAATCAAATGCACCATGATAGGCTAACTAAAGGAGCGCCTTATAATAGTCTTGTGTGCTACAATGTATATTGTCGTATTAAAATAGTTATGTAAATAACTACGCATGAATACAGCTTAAACATATTTGATTTTAATACAAGACACTAGGCAATAGGCAAAACTTGTTTCGAGTTTTTTTCCCTCATGCACTGTGCCAGAAATCTCCACTTAAGCGTACACCAACATTCAAAATCATCTGTCTAAAAACATGTTACTCTAACATGTAGGTCTAATAATGATAATAATAATAATAATAAGATTAATTATGAATCTGAATTCATGCAATGTTCAGGAAATTAACATTCTTTCTGTTCTGGAAATGTATGCAAATTAGTTGTGCATTAAATTGTAAAAATAGTGATTTAATATAAATTTGAATAATAATCAGAATCAGAAGAGCTTTATTACCAAGTATGTTTACACACACAAGGAATTTGACTTGACGACAGGAGCTTCCAGTGTAGAAGAAAGTACAAACATAGTGCAGACATACATGATAGTGCAGACATACATAGGAATAACACAGTAGGGATGTAATATAACACTAATATAATAAAAAAAGAAAAAATTAGTAATGTACTATATACAGAAATAGAAGTATAGGAAAAATGAATTTAGATAAATGTACAGATGTTTATTAGTGTGCAGATATGTTATTTATAACGCTTTTCTAGATTTCTGCTTCCTGAAGACCCGGTTCACATCCTCTACACAGACCTTAAGCACAGGTTGAATGGGAGGGAAGGGGGTTGCAGGGGTGGTAGGTGAATGTGTGAAGTGCAGATCAGAGCGGATGGGGGGTGGTAGACTATCCTTTTCAAATCTGCAGTAAAACACATTCAGATCATCAGCCAGTTGTTGATAATGACAGATTGCATGTTTAAACATTTAACAATAATGACCAATTTGCATATTTAAACATAACATAGCATATTTAACATTAAATGGGTCATATGATGCTGCTAAAAATAACATTATTTTGTGTATTTGGTGTAATGAAATGTGTTTATGCAGTTTAAGGTTAAAAAAACACATTATTTTCCACATGCTGTACATTATTGTTTCTCCTCTGTGCCCCACCTTTCTGAAACGCGTCGATTTTAACAAAGCTCATCGGTCTGAAAAAGCGAGGTGTGCTCTGATTGGCCAGCTATCCAGTGCGTTGTGATTGGCTGAATTCATCAAGCGTGTGACGGAAATGTTACGTCCCTTACCATATTGTGATGCCTGTGGCAACCACATGTGACGACCCCGGGCTGGACTCCGCTTCGTCCACGGTGAAAGCCGATCCGGCGATCCACAGCGCAAAGTTGAAGTATTTCCTCAGTGACCAGCACGGATTAGCTCCAGGCATGACGAAGCGAATATCGTCCTCTTTTGGGAGACCAAACAAAGTAGTTTCGCTTTCACAACGAAACACACAGCGCCTTCACGACATGGCGGCGGCAACAACAACAATACTACAGCGAGAATAAAACGCCTCCTTTCTTTGCGTGAACATTTGGGCGGTGTTAAGCAAATCTTCCCACATAGTGAGGTAGATATGTGGGGGCGTGTTAGAACGAGCCGTTTTAGGTAGGTTTGGCTGACTCTTAACTTTTATAAAGAATATCTCTTTGGATTTGAGACTTTAGTCTTTGCAACTTTACAGATCTTCTTTATGCACCAAGAGCTTGTAACACTCCAAAGAGAGAGGAAAAATTGAAATCGCATTATATGGCCCCTTTAAACATAGCATATTAAAACATTTTGAAAACTTGTAATAACAAAAACTAATTAATGCATGTGATCGATCAACTGGGGAAATATGGTGATATTTATTAGTTAAAATTTACTCTATTCACCAAGGTTGGAAAAGGAGATTTGTGAGATTTAGGAGATTTTGTCAGATTTAGCTCACTTCTGGGTACAAATGTATTCTTATGTATTTTTAAGTTATTATATATTATTGAGCATTAGTGTTGTGCGATATATATAATCTACAATAATATCATAATTGTTGTCTTAATATGCAATTTGACATTATAGAGTAACTAAACAAAACACACCCAGAGAGGGCACATTGTGTGATGTAGATTAGACTGCTGCACATGTGCATTTAGAGTTTAAGCTTTCACTGCGTGATTTAATTTATAAATGTAAATTTAGAATTCCCCCAAAATTCAAGATGTGGGGGCAAAAAAATGATGTATGACTTTGTCTTTTATATAATCTGTTGTAGTTAATCAATATCATGTTTTTTCTCAGACACAATAGTTCCTGGTTTTTTTTCTCTATTTCTCCAAAATAGTTCCAAACAACCCACAGTAGAACTGTTTTGCATCTCTGAGCAACACACCATGGTGTTTCCTTACTTAAACTAATCGGTTAATTGAATGACTCACTCATACAGCGACTTGCCACCACCTACTGGCGATTTTAATTGAACTCTTTTTTTTTTTTTTTTTACTTTCTCAAAATCGTTTTAAATAACAGTTTTTAACATTTTGTTTTTAAACCCTCAAACCATTTATGCATTTGTAACTTCAGGTTAAATGCATTAATGTCCTGCAAGTCTGAGTGAATGCATCTAAATTAGGGTGACAATATGTGCCATTTTTAGGGCACATGTTCTGGCCAGGATTTCTATATTTCCTGAAACATCCAGGTTTTGGCTTTGTTTTCCTGTTTACATACATGCTGAAGGTAATGATCTAAAAGTAATTTGACCAATAACATGCAGGCACTGGCACGTGAGAGAAGGTCGGATCTACAGAGAATGGTCAGAGCATTGCATATACAGTATGTGTACATATTAGTTGTGTTCAACTTGAAGTGGCGCTGTGCAGGCTTATCGCTGTATGACATGAAAGTACCGCGAGAGCAATTAGAAAGCATGGTGTGTCTGCTCTGCTCTCTATAGCTCTCACTATACTTACTTTGATGTCATACAATGATCAATCTGCACAGTGCAAAACAGCCAAAACCTGGTTATTTTAGGCAACATAGAAATCCTGGCCAGGACGAGTCCCTGAAAAATGGCACGTCTGGCCTAATCTAAATGCCACTTCATTGGAAAGACAATTTTTGTTGATATTGATTTCATTTGATTGGTAACAGCCCTATAGTGTCTTACTATTTGAATTGAATTTATTGATTAAATGTAAGCATTCAACATGAAAGATGATAATGAT